GGAAGAACCAGAAGATCAACAACTGTCCACACCTTCCACAGACGGATTGCTGGATCCAACCCAGTATGCAAATAGAGGGTCTCAGCATCACTGCCTGAAACATCCCTCACACGCCCATATTTTTTTTTAATAAAGCATCCAGCCTGCTGAAGAGTTTTGTTCCCTAAGGAAAGCTTTCACTCAGTTACCTATCAACATATTCTGAAAACGGATATAAAGAGCTTTCATTAAATCAATGGCTCCTTGTATGTGACAAAAGAAACACTGAGAATTACTTCCTACACATCCCTCGATACAGGGGAACCAGAAAGGTATCTTTCAGGCATACTCAGTAGAACCACGAGGCTGATGAATTTTTATTTTTATTTATTTATCAGATGTATACCCGCCCTCCCCGCCAAAGCAGGCTTTTTGAGAAGATCTGTTATTTACTATCCATTTTGGATAAAACATGTGACCTACAAGGCAACACATCTTGTTGTGGCAGATGGGAAAAATCAGAACCCAGAATGTGCAATTTCTGGTTGCTGTTTATAAAGGTGATCACCTAATGTAAGGTGGGGTAGCCTTGCTGGTCTGCAACAGAAGAGCAAGATTCAAGCCCAGTAGCACATTAGAGACCCACAAGATCTCCAAGGGATACGCTTGCAACAGTCAACATTTCTTTCATCAGACACCAATTTAAATTCACTTTTAACAAATCTCAATCTGTATATTTTTGGAGTTTCTGTCATAGTTCTGTTTGGTCCATGCAATGGTTACAATTGGCTGATCATGTCATGCAGAACTTTTTTTTATATACCTATGAGGAAAATTTCTATGTCATAACGTCTTGATTTAAGCAAATAAAATGGGACGAACTGGACAAATATCAGGCAACCTTCCTGATTTCATTTCCAGCATATGCCCTTGTTAGCCGCCCTGAGCCCATTGGGGAGGGCGGGATACAAATATGAAAAAGAAACAAATAAATATAAACAAACATCTTTATTTATTAATTAAAGCATTGCATGATTTTGGTCTCAGAGAGTGTCACCATTAAGATCATTTGCTAAGAGAAAATTCCACAAACCAAACGTCTCTTCCTTGCAATTATCTATCCTCCTGTAGTTTAAAAACAAGAATTAATCCCCCCCAATGGGGACTATAGCCTGTCTGCTACAGCTGCTACTGTGGTTTGCAAAACAAAAGAAACTGCCATGCAGTTCCTCTTCAGTTACTAGCAG